TGTTGTCCTTAATCTGGGCGTCACCTTTTGGATGAGCGCCCATCCACAGCTGGAGAAAACAGCACAGCTTTCAGCTGAATAACAGCTCATACTTTATTTACTTTATTTAGAAATATTCCTGTTGGTGTTGCAGCAAGAGGTTCCAAAAGTGGGCACACTTTACATTTCCTAAGTACTAAATCTTAATAATAAAAACCACAGTTTTGTAGCTCTCCTTATTTTCTTTTTATCTGCCTTGAAACTTTCTAAAAAACCTATGAGAGGCCCCAGATGTCTTGCTGACTGAGAGAAAAGCCTGCGATTATACATGGACCCAATTAACCCAATACTCCAAACCATGGTCATTTATAGCGAGTGAAAAGGAAGGAATCCAAACTATGAGAGTGTAATCTACGGGATCAGAGCGCTATTCCAGTTTGTAAATAAAGGACAAGCTCTATCAAAGTCACGTGTCAGTGAGCAAACAGATGATCCAAAAACTAGACACCTACACTGTACTTCCTGACTTCATATCAAATTTGACAGCACACTAAGGTTGAATAGTGTTTTTATATTTAATCAGGCTACCTCCAGAGTTTCCATTTGGAATCAATGACGTTTTTATGGAGTCTTTTATTCACAGCATGGTTGTTTAATAGATTGTCTGCTGGGGGAATTTGTTTTCTATTGCTTGTTAAGCTGTGCCTAAAACCACTGAATGAAGCACAAACTGTGTGTTGTATGGAATATATCACAGAATGGGTGTGTAATGATTCAGAAATTTAGAAAATCAAATATAGTTGGATTTGATTATAAACCTTTTTTACACTGGTTCTAGAACACAAAACACACTGAGAATACCTGTTCAACCAGTACAATTAATTTCACTTTGATCCATGACTAACTGAATTGGTTTCCACATCTTGTTTATCAAGCTGTGTAGCTTTAAAGTTTAAATGGACTCTAATGTGTAAATAACTGGAATTAAATGATTATTTTTACTGCTAAATAACCAGATTAATAACTTTCTACAACATATCTTGCAATCTTGCATACTTATATAGTATATTTATATGTTCTTGGTTCTCAGTGAGAACCATTTGATAACATCTCTGCAGTAGGTGGCTCAGATAGGGATCATTTTCTGTGGAAAAAAAAAAAAAGAAAAGTCATACAACCCGTGAAATGCCCCCTTTAGATTGGTCAGGTGGTGCCAAGACCACCCCTTTTATGCGAACGGGCAGGGGAATGCCTGGGATAATTTAGCCAGTTAACTAGTTTTGCGTGAATGTTTATTCATATTAGAGGCCCAGGTCTGAAACGTAAAGCCTTAGGTACCTTAAATCTGCGTTATTTTTACTAGCCACCAGGGGGCAATGGCTGTGACTATAACAGGAAGTCTGTGGGGAAAAAAGCAACAGCTGTGGGAAGAATTATGGTGACAAGTCCCTTAAAAAGAACAAAACAAAATAAAACACCAAAAGTCAGTTAAACAAAAAGACATGTCACATAATGTGTTGATCAAAGTCATCCTTCTGAAAATGTGTACAACCAAGGGATGTGGTCCACAGTACGTGAAAATATCAGCACTATCGTAACCTGAACTAATGACCTTTATGACAAACACTGCAAAGCTGTTGTGGCTAAATAAAGACAGACTTATTAAAGGCATGCACAGCACCGAGCCTGTGCCAAGACAGCCTAGGACACGACTGCATTTAAAACCAAAATGATTACGTTATTTTTGCTTGGCTGAGGAGTTGTGTATCATTAACGGTAACATAAGACTACAGAGCTAAATTCAAATGTTAAAGATCCCTCATTGCTGACAGTAAGTGTAAATAAGCTCAAACGACTCAAGCGTAGCTATCTCAAGAAATGGTAGTCCTACAATTCTATTCAAACCTATTCCAGAAAACCAGAGTGAAAACCAAGTTTCCAGCTCTGTTCCAGCATAGTGGTCTCAGGTTTTCAGAAAACCTGAAAACATTAAGTTTCTTTAACTTTTAAGAATGAATCACATGCATGCTTGTACATTTTCAATACTGAGTGTTAAATGTTCACTACCCTCCCTCCAACAGGTACCCCAAATATCTCTGGGCCTTACCTCTGCATAAGGTTTATCAGCCTCTACGACAGCAAGTGCATCTCCGCCAATCACCAGCTTGGCCACCTCGCTGTCCAGTCCAACCTTGCCCCATGCATAATTTTGCACAGCACAGGTCAGGGGAAACACTGAGGAGGAAACATTTAATGTGCAATAAGTGTATAAATATTACAAAAAACAAAAAAAACAAAAACATACAGTGAGTTACAAAACTCTAGTATGAGCCTCTTTAATGTTCTACTGACAGGTGCATATGCACACAGCAGCCAGTTTATCAGCAGCAGAACTGAGACAATAACACATTAGGCTTCCATCTTCACACACAGTGAGACCCATGTCGAGCTTTTAATGGTGATAGCTGTACTGCTCTAAGATCATTCAAACAACAAGCTATCTTTAAATATCATCAGAAGCTCATGGTAATAATTGTTTTTTGTGCCCACGATCCAGTAATCCTTTATAATGCAATACCAATCATCAGAAAAAACCTGCGTTAAAGTCATCTATAAAAATATTAAAATGCATTAGATTTATGTAGGTACAGGAAAATCGCCTCTACCTTACACCTCATAGTTTTACTTATTAGGCTCTTTGTTGTGTTATATTCGGCTTTTTATATGATGTTAATTTATTTAATAACACTTTTTATTGAGTTGATTGATTTAAATAATATATCTTTACCTCATTACCTCTCTTTCTGTCTTATCACAGTTTGAACTAAACAAGTTTCACTGGATTTCTAATAACTACCTGCTTCGCTAAACCAGTAAGACAAGCGGAACGGATTGCTGGGGGTACATTTTTAATCAGAACACCGGGCAGCTGATGGTGCAGCCTTCACAGGACAGAAACACACAGTAAGCAGCTTTACGTTTGGCAGGCTCTGTTTGCCGGTTTCAGACAAATGTAGCTGAAAGTAAAGGTTTTATATGCGGTAGGGAAAAAATACTAAACTCCATCTTTGTGGCTGAGGTGCTAACAGCACAGTGAAAAGGACAGTGAGCCACACGTAAAGCAATCAAAACGCCGGCTGAAACAATGAGGTGGTTTTTCGGGTAACGCCGAGCCTCCCGTCATATTACCGAGCAGCACCGGACATCACGCAGCGTAAACAAACATCTGCTGTTAGCTAGCTGAGTATGTATCTGTAAAAGAGATCATTTCAGACAGTTTAAAAGGAGTAAATCTCTCACCTCTCACTTCCTCCATGTCTGCGACGTCGACTGACGGCTGCTGGTGACGTCACGACGGACGTGGCAGATGTTTTTTTTTTAATTTGAATAATTCAACTGAATAATTTCAGCTTTTTACCCACAGAGATAATTGCTTGGAAAAGAACAAAGCAAAAAATTAAAACTAAACGCCACAGATTGTTTGTTTGTTTTAATATTTATTCGACCATAACTGGTCACAGGGCATTCTGGACATGCCCTACGAGGACATCCGACAGTTAGGACCAACCCAAAATGGAAAGAAAATAAAACAACAAGAACAATATACATATAAACATATATATCTATAGATATATCTATAGCTATATAGAGAGAGTGTGTGAGTGTGTGTGTTCTTTTTATAATAAGTAAATTAAAGTTGAACTAAAAGAGTATGGAGTTTTTTATGCATTAAAACTTTTCATACATATGAGATTTTTACAGAAGTCTTCTCTTATATATATTTTTTCTATAAATACATTACACATTTTTCAGAAAATTTAATGAGCCAGCTATGAAACGAACTACGAGTGGAAATGTGGTTGGTCCAAATGACATACCTGTGGAGGTATGGAGATGTTGTCTTACTGACCAGATTGGTTGACACAATCTTGGAGAATGAGAGGATGCCTGAAGAAAGGAGGTGAAGTGCACTGATATGAATTTTCAAGAACAAGGGTGATGTGCAAACTGCAACTACAGAAGGATGCGAAAAAGAGGAAGACCTCAGAGAAGATTCATGGATTTAGCAAAGGAAGAAATGCAGAGGCAGCCACAGGATTCACAAATAGTTTATTAATACTTTATTATTATTATTGTTGTTGTTGTTGTTGTCATTATTAGTTTAGTAATCAGTTTGTTGGGTAAATAAGATTGTGGGGGTTTTTAATAACAAAAACTCAAATAACATCTACAATATAAGCCATGGACTCATATCAACATCGTTATGCTCAATGCAATGCTCAGGATTTTCTCCAAGTCTGTTGTGGCCAGAGCTATCCTCTACACTGTTGCATGCTGGGGCAGCAGGTTGAGGGGCTGCTGATGCCAACAGACTCAATACACCGATCTGTAAGGCCAGCAATGTTGTGGGGATGGAGGTGGACTCTCTTAAGGTGGTGACGGAGAGGCGAATGTTGTCCAAGATAAAGACAATGTTGGATAATTCCTCCCACCCACTCCATGACATGCTGGCTAGCCACAGGAGCACGTTCAGTGAGAGACTGAGATTATCAAAAAGCACCACTGAACGACACAGGAAATCATTCCTGTCTGTGGCCATCTCCCTGTACAACTCATCCACCTAACACACTGTATACTGCAATAGCTACATCCTTTTTGCACATGCTCTTCTTTCTTATTCAGATATTTAGTCGTAAGTGACTTATATGTATGTATATATTGTGCTATTTCTTACTTCTTGTTTTGTCTATTTTTGTTACTGTTTGTACTGGAGCACTGTAACCAACATAATTTCCCCTAGGGATCAATGAAGTATTCTGATTCTGGTTAACAATTGCACAATATAGTGAAGTAAGATAGAAACAAGGTTAACATGTAGGTAAAGAAAATAAATAATAATAATAAAAATGATAAGACATAACAACTGGAATTTGCTTTTAATCTCAAACGGCGCCGAGAGGGGTTGCAGGTGGCGCGCTTTGATTACCTGCGCATCATTTGACGCACACGTCATCGTCCAACTGGCTCAGTGCGCATGCGCTTTAAACTTTATTCGAGGAAGTGGTAGGACAGGCACCAGAAGCGATAGGGAAGAGTTTGTTGTTAACTCCACCTTCAGAGAAGACAAAAAGAACACCTCGCAACATTTTCAAAATGTCGGAATTTGATACCAACCCGTTCGCAGATACTGCCAGCGAAAACCCTTTCAATGTAAGTACGAGGACTGAGATTATAAGGCGCAGTCGGTGACATATCAAACGGCGGCAGTTAAACGGTAGCCAGCACGCCAGGAAACTTGTTGGGTGGATGTCGGGGCGGGAACCTACGTCTTTGAGGATTGCAACCATTTGGCAGGAAGTGTGACTGACAGTTTTTTAACCAATCACGTGGCTTGTAAAACGGCTGCATATCCTGTGAGTTTAGTTGCAGGAAGTTAAACTTGAAATGTGTGTCAGATATATTTTTTAAGCCACAGTACCTATTTTCTGCTTCCTTCGGAAGATAATGTACATTACTGTGTGTATTTCTAATGTCTTAGACGTGATTTGTGATAGTTCTGGTGGTTTGTAATGTGACGTTTATCGAAACTGTTGGTTTTCTCTCTACAAAGAGCTTCTAGCACACAGGATGTCTGATAGTAGGCCAGTTGTTTGTGGAAATAGGAACGTCCTCCCTTCACTTTAAAATATTAAAAAGGGCGAGCGACAAACTAAGGTCTTTCTTTATATGCACTGAAATAATATTTAGTTATATGAACAGATTTATAGTAGGAAAGCCTACTGGGAATGTTCTTATCCTCATGTTCCCATACATTTTTCTCTGGATAAATGTTCAGAAATAGTGAGAGTAAGAGTGTTTAGTTGCTATATCTTTATAGATTTTCTTTTGTTCCCTTGCACTAAAATGGGTTAATAACTGAAACAAGCCCAGAATTTCACATTTGGTCATTAATGTTTCTGTTGGCTTTTTCACAAAGACGTGTTGAAGCTTTGAGGGGTATACTGTAAACACAGCCAGGTTTTCTTAGTGTTAGCAGGCTTGACAAAACCTAAAACCCTAGTCTGAGGTAATGGGGATCACAGTGGTGGTTACTGCTCCGGACAAGGCTATGTGTTCAGTCTAAGTTACCAAGGTAATTTGGCCAGTTATGAAGAGAGCCACTTTTGAGACACAAGAAACTGTCACGTTAGGTTTGACAAGCTCACTGACCCATTAATTGTACTTTGTAGTACACTCAGGAGCTAGAATTATTTGCCATTCATAAAGGAAGTGGTTTGACCCCTGGCTGCTTCAGTCTGCATGGAAAAGTGTCCTTGGGCAATTTTACCTCCATTATTGCCTAGTCCTCATCTGAAATTGAAAATGAAAGAAAGTAACAGAAGTCATAGAAAAAGACAAGTAGAATAAAGTACAATGTGAATATGTGTGTGAAAAGGAAGATGTGGCTTTTAGTCTTTAAGTGCTTTGAGTACTCAGTAAGAGTAGACAACCCCTTTAAATGCACCAGTCTGTGATTTAATATTATGCCAGCCAAGAAAAAGGATGAAAATGAAATAAATGGCTGACACAGAGGCAGCAGCAGTTAGGGAGACTCTGACATTGATTAATCCCTAATGTAAGTTACTCTTTAAAAACCTAGTTTTTGTCACTGTGTCTCATACTCCTTTAACACAGTATTTAACACACAGAAGTTTCAAACCCAACAATGGAAGAGCACCAATTTAAAAATGTTAACCATCATCTTTTGCTTGTTATTTTTTATCCATATATATGTGTATATATAAGAATGCATGATTTATTGTACATGTGTATGTACATGCAGGGAAACAGTCCTTTTATATCAGGTTTTCTCTTTCACGGAAACCTTTGAAGTCTGTCAGGAATTATCTCACACTCCACAAGTTTTCTTTTTTTTCTCTAGGACATGAGCTAGATATGTTAGCCTAGTTTCTGCAGTAGTAAAGAACCTGTTTATGTTTTCCATCTTTCCTTCTTATTATGCAATATGAAATTCATAAAGTAAAAAAAACAAAATTAAACCTGTCATAACTCTCCTTATTTAACAGTTTTTGAAATGAAGTGTAACATTTTAGTAACAGTGGCCATTCTTGAAAATGTAGAATTAGATAAAATGCAACATAAAAGGTGAATAGAAACTTAGCAGATTAATCACAATGGCTTGATCATGATGTCAGATTTGAATAACCGCATAGATAACTGGGTGTTTGCATCTGTTAACACACACGTGCTGTTGTTAGGGTTTTTCAGTTCTACCAAATGTTAAGATCACTCTTATTGCAGAGAGAGCAACAGTTTATAGGAGCATTCAGAGTCCAAGGTTCAACCAGGCCTCACATTTAGTGTGACATATTTAACAGTAAATTGCTCTTATCACACTCCAAATCAAAACCAATGACCTGTGGGTACTATTCTGTGTAAGATTTAAGTGGCATTATGCTTTTACAGTATTGCAGAATGGAACTTTTGTTATCTCAAGTGTTCAATAGGTGTGACGTCAGTGGAGACTTCTGTTTGTTTGGTGGGTGGACTGGATAAATACCCTAGTAGCAGCTGGAGTATAATATGTACTCTGAAAAGCAGTTCTATTCATAAAAGCTCGCTGTCTGTGGTCACATTAAATATTTAACATGTTACCAACCTTTGAAAGAATATTAAAAATGTTAAAATGTGCATGTTTGTGGACTGCAGACTGCACTATGCTGCTTTTTCCCCCTGTAGGCCTTTCTGAGCATGTGCTTCTATCATTTGTAGCACTGTGGTATCTAAATTATTATTTTTGGGCCTTTGCTGGACAGATGCAGTGAAGATGTTTACGGGTGGGAATGTTTACAGGTGTGTCACTTTCCTATGGTTAGGAAAGCAGGTAGAGAAAGGGGAATACATGCAGCAAAAGGCCGCGGGTTGGAGACGGACCCATGCCATACTGCTTTTGGTCACCTGTTCACCCAGTGAGCTAAACCTGCACCCCATGGCTGTGGTATCTAATGTAAAATGTAGTAGTATCCAGCTGCTATTTTGAAATGGCCACACCTAGGGAATCAGCAGTTATGAGAGCATGTCCGGTTTCCTTGTACAGAGACGTTAAAGTCACTGTATTATTTTTGTATTAAAATATGCCATGTTTACATGTCATCTATATACTTTATGCAGTTTTCCATATATCGGCATATATGGAAAACTGCATCTTTGTATGTCTGTCTATTGTTTTGAAGATGCTGTCCTCTTGTTTGAGGCTTGTCCCAGCTTGGTTTTCATTTCAGAGACTGTGTAAGTTTGCTGTCATCAGTTACTTTATTCACTGCTGTCGGTTTGTCTCTCTAAAGGATGTATAATAAGCCACTCCTCGCTGTTTACTAAGCATATGTTTTTTTTACCTGTGCAATTAGGTAAAGACGTTTTGAACGAGAGCCTTTGAATATCTTTGCAGGCAACAAGGAGTTGTTTCGTAAAATGTATCATGGGTCATTTAAGTTGGGTTTAGAGGTTAATTCCATTCACCCTTTTCCCTTTATATTGCTAGCTGTTGATCATCTCACTCAGACGTCTCTATGTTGCCGTCTGGGAATGTTTACAGGTGTGTCACAAGCACATATTAACAAGCAGGCGAGCTCTTATCACACTGTTGGTGAGTGACGTGTCACGTAGTCATGTGAAGTACTTGTTCCGTCAACCTTTTAAAGGAAGGACTGATTTGTCCCAGATTATTGAAGTGATTCTGGAAGTTGTTACTGTGTCATAGTTTTTGTTTTTGATCACCCACCGAGTTCACACAAACTTGCAGATGCAGCATTTCTCAGGACTGCATTGTACACCATCATTTCCAAATAAAAGCTTAGTTGTTACAATATGTTCTAGTGTAAATATTAGATATTGGTGTGTGTATATATATGTGTTTAGATGTTTCTTTTTATGTGCCAGTCTGGGATTATCTCTGAGACCTTGTCAGAGTAATTTACAGCATAGTTTCAGGTTCTTCCAGAACATCACAGGTTGTTGAGTTACATTCAAACCTTTTATAAGGAATGTTTTAATGAGGACAAGGTATGAGTCTACATATGCACAAGTTACATTTTACAACATAGTAGCAACCACCACACCCTATCAGTAAATTGTTTATTTCATATATGTATATGACAGTGGTTATAGCTACTGTTGCATAACCCTCTGCTTTCTAAATTTTAAATATTGCTGTTGTGGCTGCTGCCATGTTGGTATGTTGCTGAAATCGAGACCTGAAGTAGACAAAGGTCATTGGGAGGGTTGCAAACACAATATGTAATAATCTGTGCCAAATCAAATATGCATATCCTTCCACTGTAACTCACATTTTGAGTAAACCTCACGTGGCCATCAGAAGAACTGCAGTTTTTGGAACTTGTTCAGCTGCTTCAATTTTCAGTCCCAGAGGGCTTAACAAACTGAGCCTTAGGAAGCCATTATTTCCATTATCAACTGTCAACTAATTCGCTGCTGCTAGACTTCACGAAGAAAAGAACTGACTAGGGCTCCAAATACAAGGAGTGTTTGACTCCACTGCCCAGCCCTCTGAAGAATCCAGATATCAAAGGGATATTCATAGAAATCAAGGCTCAGATACTTTCCCTACTGAAAGACGTGAAGAGCAGGCCAGAGGTTGCACCACCATCAGAAACAAGCTGGTTCAGCCTATGTCGTGTGGTGTGTCTGCTCAAGACATGGCCATGGAGCAGACAGTATGGAGTTTCTGTTCATCCTCTGTAAAGAAACCATGAACCTCTTCTGACTAGGACACAGGAAAAGAATACAAACCTGCTAACTCAGTTTTGTGATAGCCCCTTCACTGGTTATGTAGGTTATAGTTATTGAACCTTTTGGAGGGAAAAAAATCTCTCCAATCTACCTGAAGACATCTCTGATTCAGACTCTGACTACTGCTGCTGAACAACTAGGCCAAGTTTTCCAGACTGAGCCTACGGGCCCCACCCCCGACACATCTTGAGCTGTGTCCCATTTTAAGACCTGGATTTTTTTTTTCAAAGCTGGTATTTGTAGCTGGGCTGAATTTGAGCCTTTATTCTGAGCGAACTGCTGAGTGTAAAGGTGTGTCTAAAAACTTCAGGTACTGGATCAGAGAATCTCATCGTCGTCGGGGGCTATAGATTGGAGAGGAGAAAAAAATCAGAAATAATTGTGTCAGGTGTAACTGGGACAAGTGGTAGCAATTAAGTTAAACAGAAGCTGAAGCTGTGTCAGGAAGATGGAGAACAATAAAATATTTGTGTAAGTTTAATTGAGACTGTAATTTTTCTTTGCAGGGTCTCTTTGGTTGTCCTTACCGATATTGACTGACAACCACTTAAATACAAATACAAAAGGACAATTTGCAATTAAGCTGTTGGCACATCCTAGAAATCTTACCGTCTTCCTTTCAAATAGGACAGACCCTTGTTGAATTACATCACGACACATGCGTGTTACCGGTACATCACAGGAGGCTCCAGAGACCCTGTTGGGCTGAAGTGGCGTCATGTATGGCAGGAATTCACAGTTACTGTTGTAGTTTTGGTGTGAATAAAAATTTCCTGGTACCTTTTTACCCCCCTCATATTTGTTTTTGCATGCCAATATAAAGTGCATCATTAAAATTTTTGGTCATGTGTTGGGATGCCACAAGCTGCCAAAATAGTGTCATCATCCAGTGCAGATGTCAAAACATGCTTTCTAGTTTTTATTTTTAGATTTAGGTTGTGCTTTACAGTTTTATTGGAGGAAGAAAACTGTATGTGAATATAATGTTTTTAAGCCTTTAAAAGGTCTCCAAAAGGTCTTAAAAGGCTTTGAGAGAAATCTATAATTGCGTGCATGTGTGTAAAATGTACTGAACTGCATTGATGGAATTTATCAGGTCCTGACTTTCTTTTCTCAGACGTGTCAAAATAAGCAGTGCCTTCTCATATTATAGAGTGGTTAAATCAATAGTGAGCTCACTAGAGTCATTTAATGATTACCAGTGCTTCTCCAGGGGTAATATTACCAGGAACCTCAGAGGTTATTGCTGGATGTTATTGTACTTTACTTTATGACTTTGGCAAAGCATGATACGAGATTTCATAATCTCGGCTTTTTTCTTTTTGAGGGTTGCTTTCAGTGTTTCAGGAAATGGTAAAGCTTATAACAAAGAGTTCTTCTGGAGAGAAAATGAACAGCACTAAATGAATTTCTTCTTTGTAGATTTTAAGTCTAAATAAACTTGATATTCTTTATTTATTTATATTTATAAATATATATTTATTTTATTTTATATTTATTTATATTCTTGCAAAACTGTTCAGTTAAGCCATGTCAGTTAAGCCATGTAAATGCACTTACCTCTAATAGCAGCTCACCAAACCTGGTACAAGAGGCCTCTTTTTCATTACTGCATAGCACCTACACTTATTTCTGCAGCTTTTAGCTCAAAGATAAGAAATACTTCCAAGCTGTCATCATAGACAGAAATTGGATCAAAATGTATTTGTAGATTTTCAGGTAACTCATTATTATAAGTTGATAAAGATGCGCACGTGTTTTTATTATTATTTTTATTGTTTTTCCAGGATCCCTCTGTCACTCAGGTGACAAAATCCAACATCGAACCAGTTGACCAGTACAACCCTTTCTCTGCTCAACCCAGTGTAAGACATCTGGAAGCTACATTTTCTACTCATTTTGTTGGTTTTGAAACCATTTGATGGTGTCTTATCTGCACATTTCCTCATTATTTCGTTTTCCTGTCAAAATATTGTATCTTTTGTTTTTTCTCACCATCTTTCAGTTCACCATTTCAATTTTTTGGTCTTGGCCTGCTTATGTCGCCATTCCCTTTATCTTCTTAGCCTTGTTTTCCTGGTATTCCTTCTCTTTTACTGGTTGCATTTGAATCTTTTATTTGCTTATTGTTGTTTTTTAGGATGGACTAGCAGCTCACACCACATCTCCTGCTGTGCTACAGCCATCTACAGAGCCCAGTCCACAGGTGAGAATTTATACCAAACCCACCACTTCTCTGATTAAAAAAAATATTTTTATGAAGGTGAATGAGCAGGTGTGGGTGAGATTTTATAACAATCTAGCATTATTATTGCACAATTATGTGACCTCACTCTGTTTTTTCAGTTGATGGATGGTGGGAATTATGAGATTGAGATACATCGAAGCCCTGATTGACAACAAAGAGCAGAATAAGACTCAGTTGCAGTTTACTGAAGCTGTAAGACGGCCCCAGTCTGTCAGGAGAGGTTGGCTAATGCTAACATTGTGCAAAGCAAGCTAAAAATACATCTGGTAGTAAAACATTTTTGAGAGCAACTCAAACCTACTGTAGAAGACCACTACATCTAAGCCAAGATGAGCAAGACCATTTATTGAAATTCAATAAATACATTAAAAAAATTTCAGTTCTTATCCTAGGTCTAGATATCACAGATGGGCTCTTAATCACATATTCCTACTGCAGCACATTTAGAAGAACTCATAATAACTACGATGACAATTGGATGTTATTTAGTGACAGTGTGAATGGAGGTGTGCATTTTGTCTTGCCCTCTGCTGTGCTCTGGGTACTAAAAGTTTGGAAACCACTAAGAAAGAGTATTTTCTTAAGTTCCAATTCTACTTATCCTGCCTGTTTAATTAACAGTTATTTTTTCACACAGATGCTGTAGCCGTTTCTTTTACTCAAAGCCATTTAGTTGCTACATCGAACTAAATGTCCAAACCTTATTTTGCCAAAAAGATCACAAAACTGAGCTTTTAATTAGGGGTGGGTTTTTATAATCGATTTATCGATTAAAATCGATTCTGGCTTGGATAATGTGAAATCGATTCATTAAAATTGTGAATCGTTTTTTTAATATAAATTTATTTTGCCCGAAATGCCAGAATCTCAGGTGAAAAATCACAAAATTTCAACAACCACCAAACAGCTAAGACAGTAAATGAGAGCAGGTACACGGATTCAGCACAAAGACGTTCTAAAATGTTTAGAAATTGCATTTTTTAGCAACACGTGGCTCATTTTAGAATTCTAAAATAACTGGATGTGTCTAAAGGGCAATCTGTCCCTTCAGACTCTCAGTATGGTCCTTACGTCAGGATGTGTGGTTGCTACACAAACATCTACTCACTTTACACATTATTATAATGAAGCTCTTTGTTCTGTCCTATAAATATTCATGAATAGCAAAACAGATCACCTGCATCCTACCTCTTCCTGGCAAGTCAGAGATCAGATATGATAACCATGAATATGTATTTCCTGTAATATGTCATTTAAAAGTCAAGTACACCCTTTTAGATGCCTGTGAAAACAGATGCAATTCAGAGTGTTTATTGAAGTGGCTCACAGCGACTGATTGCTGTCTTGGGTGTTAAAAACTGAAACTAGAAAGCTTATATGTGAAGTGAATCATTTCTGCACCGTTTCCTTGCTATTTGCATGAAATCGGAGTCTCCTGACAGTGGCTTAGATAATTTTCTGTGCATCTAATGTGGTGGTTGAGTGAAGCGTTTCCTCCTTTTTCAGGTAACTGCTGCTGCAGCTCAGGCCAACCTGCTGAGGCAGCAGGAAGAGCTGGAGAGGAAAGCTGCCGAGCTGGACCGCAGAGAGCATGAGCTACAGAGCAGAGGCCTGACAGGTCATTTAAAAACAAAACTCCTCAGCACAGCGCCCTGATAACAGACAATGATTTGCAACGTGGGCATTATGTACCAAAGACAAATATAAAACTACATCCTTGCACTCACTGGCTTTTTTTTTTTTTTTTTTTTTTTTTGGCTCTGATATTCATATCAAAGGGGCTGCAAAGAGCTATAACAATAATATGAAGATCATTATCTGTTAATTATCAACTCTGGTGAATGACTGAATGTTTGGTGAAATGTGTCTTCATGTGCTGCATCTGCTGATGTAAACTTGCGGTGATAAGTTTTTAGTTTAGTTTAAAAAGCAGATGCTTAGATAGGTTTATGTAAACAGTGCAGTTATGTTCCAGAGGCACAGCAGTGACATTATCCAGCCTGCTTAGGTAGGAATGCTGCTGTACATTGACTCCCACACACTTGCGTAAATGACTCAGATGAATGTGTCAGTATTTTAAAAATAACCACCGGTTGCTTTTTGTTAAACTCTATTCGTGCTCATGATATATCTGCTGTCTTGTATTTATAGTTTGCCATGCTGATGTTATCTCTTGACTCGACAGGTAAAGAGAACAACTGGCCTCCACTTCCAAAGTTCTTCCCCATCAAACCATGTTTTTACCAGGACTTCTCAGAGGAAATCCCCCCAGAGTGCCAGAGAGTCTGCAAGATGATGTACTACCTCTGGATGTGTAAGCACATTACATTTTTAGGGGGGCGGACATTGGAAGTCTGAGAAGTAAAAACCTTTCAGGAAGGTTTGAAGCTCTGAATCGGTGTAAAAATGTACCCTAAAATCACTACTTAACAACACCGGTTGGTGTGATGGGAAAAACACTCCAGCCAGTACTGTTTAGTTTTTGTTCTTCTTTGCTGTATACATACATGATACTGAAATTCTGACTAGAATACAATCACTGACTCTCTCTACTGTCGTCCTCAGTCAACTGTGTGACTCTGTTCCTCAACCTGCTGGCATGTTTGGCTTTCTTCACCACGGCTTCAAGCAATGGTGTGGACTTTGGTCTCTCCATTCTCTGGCTCATCCTCTTTGCTCCCTGCTCCTTCCTCTGCTGGTACCGACCCGTCTACAAGGCCTTCAGGTGAGTCCCCCCATCATGAAAGGTACTGTATGCATCATTTGACCCCGTGTGTGGACAGTGATGTGTGTTTTTAAGAACTCTGCTTAAAAGGCATTTTTTCATCTGGATTTTACAGACGTGTACATTAATGCATTAGCTTTTGAAATGTTTGTTCCCAAATGTATTGTGTATAAATTTAACAAAAAACCCTGTGAGTTTATTTTTAAGTTTCGATCAACTGCTGTGAACAAAAAGAAAAATGTCTGATAACTTTGATACTTTTTGTAACAACGATAATGCTTCTGCGCCAGATGTATTCGCTTTCCCTTGTAATTTTTGTGCTGTCACAGTGTGTATTTCACACATTACATTTATATTACAGCGTTGCCATGGTAAAGATTTGCACTTGCACATGTCACTTACATTCATATAACTGTACTCCTGATATAAATGTGTTTTCTAAGTCTGAAAGTTTAATGGATGGTTTTTTCCTCTTTTTTTCAGGACTGACAGCTCCTTCAGCTTCTTCTTGTTCTTCTTTGTGTTTTTTTGCCAAGTGGTAATCTTCATCATCCAGTCAATAGGCATACCTCACTGGGGCAACAGGTGAGTGTCATGTATGTCCTATTTTTCAATAAAAACTTTAGTTTTCCAGATGGCTTCTTCAAAAGTAAATATGTGGGCATTACGTTTATGGTTTTTAAGCATATACTTGAAATAATATGTTAAGGATATAATAGGATAGCTTTTTTTTTATTACCCTCTGCAAATTTCAAATTATTTTTTTTAAACTCTAATCTGTATTTAATTACATATCTCTATAAATAAAGCTTATATTAGTCCAGCATGTTATGGTAGATATATGCATTGCATGAAAGTAAATCAGAGTCCTATTTCAATTTCAGTTTGTGCATCTTCATCACAAACCACAGACATTTTGGATATAAAGTCGTAACAGTTATTTCATATTCTGTTGGCGGCTTTAGTGAAATTTAGAAGTTTAAAAAACTATTTTTAAACACCAGAAATTGCAATAAGTATATTTTAAGTTCAAGTTCGAACAAATGTTATAATTTAACATATAATTTTGACAGAATAATTATGTTTATATTAATATTAATTCATAGTATGTATGAATCTCATAAGAGCTTATGAATAGATAATAAAATAACTGGTTTCGCGGGAGTATTCACGTTGTGATCGTGTCCCCCTGACTGACAAAGTGTTTTGTGTGCTTGTGATTTGTTGCGTTAAATAATCAGAACTATTACCGGTCATTTGGCCTGTCAGCTGCCGTCCTCTCTCTTTCCTTCATTTTCTGCAATCTTTCATCTCTCACGACAGAAACTTTCCATTCTTCAGCCTCTAGCCTGCTGCCTCTCTGTCTGCGGGTAACTCTGTAAGTTTCTGCTGCTTGCAGTCTGTTACCCCACCATTTCTTTGTTCTCTTTTCCCAATCTAAATGTGTTTCAGCTTAAACTGCATCAGAATACGGTGTCATAACCTCTGCTCTTTAACCAGTGATCCATTTTAAATACTAACCTGCTGTTTTTTACTTTGTGTTTGTTTGTTGTTGTTTTTTTTCCTATTTTTTTTAACTTCTTAATATTACGATCAAATTAATTATAAATGTATTAAAGTCAAACAGAGTTTTAAAGGTAAAAAGAAGAATAAGAGCAACAGAAAATGAGGGCAGTGATGTTCATTTATTTCACGTTAATTATTTAACCAGTGGTTGGCATTTGTTTTTGTCCGGCTGCTTCCAAAACACATTCTTCTCTTCTCCTCAAATCGAATATAGCAGCGTACATGTGTTGTACGCTGTATGTTGTATGTTTCCTTCTGTTGAATACAATTTTAAGTTTCACTGATGCTGTTCATAAGATCACCTAAAACTCTGCTGTTTGTTGCAGTGGTTGGCTCTCTGCATTCACTATCATCAGTGAACACCGTGCAGTGGGAATCATCATGATCATAGTGGCCATCCTCTTCACTTTGTGCGCTGTGATGTCTGTCATTCTGCTCAAGATGGTAAGAGTTGCCTCACTTTTCTTTTTTTCTTAATTTTCTTCAGAACACAGTTTTTATCTCTGGTTATTTTACTTGTTGACTCACTAATCAACAGTTGCTAGATGTCTGTGTAATGTTATGGTTGATTTTTGGTTAACACCAGTGCAAATCCTTCAAGTGCACCAATCACAATGAAATGGAATTCCAGCCATTCATTCATTCTTACATGTGTGTCCAGTTCAGGAGCCTATCCCAGCCCTATGCTTCTAATAGGGCAAGAAGCAAGGTAGATCCTGGACAGGTCACCATTGTGTCACAAGGCTAACACAGAGAGAAAGACCGTCATTCACACTCACATCTAAGGCATTTTTAGAAATACGACATGCTTATCTCTAGTCTGTGGGAAGAAACCAGTGTATCCAGAGAGAAACCCATCTGGCCAGCATGTTTGAACCAGGAACCCTCTTGTTGTGCTGCCTGCTAAATTCAATTTAGAAATAAAATAATAATTCCACTTCATTTTTGTAGCACCAGATCAAAATTGTCATTGCAAATTGCTTTATGTTAGAGAGAAGCCAAAATCAGTTGATCCCCTATGAGCCGTACTTGATGATTTTTAGTAGGAAGAGACCTCATGCAGTACCAGGCCGAAGCGGGATTTATTTTCCAGCAGAGGTACAGTGGGGCAAAAATGTATTTAGTCAGCCACCGATTGTGCAAGTTCCCCCACCTAAAATGATGACAGAGGTCAGTAATTTGTACCAGAGGTACACTTCAACTGTGAGAGACAGAATGTGGAAAAAAAAATCCATGAATCCACATGGTAGGATTTGTAAATAATTTATTCGTAAATCAGGGTGGAAAATAAGTATTTGGTCAATAACAAAAATACAACTCAATACTTTGTAACATAACCTTTGTTGGCAATAACAGAGGTCAAACGTTTACTATAGGTCTTTACCAGGTTTGCACACACAGTAGCTGGTATTTTGGCCCATTCCTCCATGCAGATCTTCTCGAGAGCAGTGATGTTTTGGGGCTGTCGCCGAGCAACACGGACTTTCAACTCCTGCCACAGATTTTCTATGGGGTTGAGGTCTGGAGACTGGCTAGGCCACTCCAGGACTTTCAAATGCTTCTTACGGAGCCACTCCTTTGTTGCCCGGGCGGTGTGTTTTGGATCATTGTCGTGTTGGAAGACCCAGCCTCGTTTCATCTTCAAAGTTCTCACTGATGGAAGGAGGTTTTGGCTCAAAATCTCACGATACATGGCCCCATTCATTCTGTCCTTAACACGGATCAGTCGTCCTGTCCCCTTGGCAGAAAAACAGCCCCATAGCATGATGTTTCCACCCCCATGCTTCACAGTAGGTATGGTGTTCTTGGGATGCAACTCAGTATTCTTCGTCCTCCAAACACGACGAGTTGAGTTTATACCAAAAAGTTCTACTTTGGTTTCATCTGACCACATGACATTCTCCCAATCCTCTGCTGTATCATCCATGTGCTCTCTGGCAAACTTCAGACGGGCCTGGACATGCACTGGCTTCAGCAGCGGAACACGTCTGGCACTGCGGGATTTGATTCCCTGCTGTTGTAGTGTGTTACTGATGGTGACCTTTGTTACTTTGGTCCCAGCTCTCTGCAGGTCATTCACCAGGTCCCCCCGTGTGGTTCTGGGATCTTTGCTCACCGTTCTCATGATCATTTTGACCCCACGGGATGAGATCTTGCGTGGAGCCCCAGATCGTGGGAGATTATCAGTGGTCTTGTATGTCTTCCATTTTCTGATGATTGCTCCCACAGTTGATTTTTTCACACCAAGCTGCTTGCCTATTGTAGATTCACTCTTCCCAGTCTGGTGCAGGTCTACAATACTTTTCCTGGTGTCCTTCGAAAGCTCTTTGGTCTTGGCCATGGCGGAGTTTGGAGTCTGACTGTTTGAGGCTGTGGACAGGTGTCTTTTATACAGATGATGAGTTCAAACAGGTGCCATTCATACAGGTAACGAGTGGGGGACAGAAAAGCTTCTTACAGAAGACGTTACAGGTCTGTGAGAGCCAGAGATTTTCCTTGTTTGAGGTGACCAAATACTTATTTTCCACCCTGATTTACGAATAAATTCTTTACAAATCCTACCATGTGAATTCATGTATTTTCTTTTTTTCACATTCTGTCTCTCACAGTTGAAGTGTACCTCTGGTGCAAATTACTGACCTCTGTCATCATTTTAAGTGGGGGAACTTGCACAATCGGTGGCTGACTAAATACTTTTTTGCCCCACTGTAGCTCGTTTGGTGTCTCCTCCCATACAGGGATGACCTACCTGTTTAAACAGCAATTTTCTCACAATTTCTTCCTCCTCAGGTCCACAGCATGTACCGACGTACTGGGGCCAGTTTCCAGAAGGCGCAGCAGGAGTTCTCTCAGGGCGTCTTCACCAGTAAAACCTTCCAAACTGCTGCTGCTGGAACAGCTTCCTCTGCTGCCCAGGGAGCCTTCCAGGCAAACAACTAATGGTAGATTTAGCTAAACTGAGCTTGTTTAGCAGGTCAATGTCTGTACATTATCAGGTCTGGATAATTAATTAAACTAAAGCTGAACAAATGAGCCTTTTGAAGCCATCGGCCAGATTTCTGGAAATAAGAATTTGACCTCATAATGTACAGACCCTGAGCCAGGTTAAGCTCCTTCACCCTTCACCATCAGCATTTCCCTGTATCTCCTTTTGCTTGTCACTTTCAGTGTGTGCTATGCAGAGTTATATCGTCTGAAGTGGGTGTTTTTAAAAAAACAAACAAACAAACAAAAAAGCAAGCAGTGGAGGGAAAGTGCAAACTGGAGTGTAAAGCATGAAGTTGACTCAGTGCTATTTCAGCATTTCTTGTACATAAAATATAAATATTTTACATTTCATGTGGGTGCAGTGAGCTTGCGGTCCTCCACACTGATGGAATATCCTGTAATATAAATAAGATAAAGTGTTTGTCATTGATTGACATGTATTTTGTCCTGGAAGCATATCTCTTTGCTTTTGTTTGCTGCACGTTTTCAGTCTAATGAGGAAGAAATGGATCTGACAGATCGTGCTAATTGTAATCTGTGTGGCCTTAAAGTTTTGGATATTCTTTGGATGTTATTGCACAAAATGACTTAAACCTGGAGTAAGATGATCTTGGTAGTTAGCTCATGATTTCTACATAACCAAGTGCATCCACAGAGGAAACCACATCGCTCCACATCATTTCATGCTTGTACTCAGATTTTTTTTTTTTTAATCTAATTCGGCAGACTGAGGTTCTGATGTCCTTTTTTTTTTGTTTGTTTGTTTTTCTCCAGCCGAATATTCTTGCTGAACTGGTAATATTTACAAATGTTATCAGGATCACATTCATTTTTTTCTTATTTTTTAGCAGCTTCAGCTATGTCTTCTCACTACCTTGTTTAAGAGATGTTTCTAAGGAAACCAAACGAGTACTGAATATAAAAATGGAACATTTTTCTGATTAAAATAAGTAGATCAATATTTCATATAGATTCTTTAATGGACTGAGTCCATCCAAGCTAGAGTATTTTTTTTAAATTTACTAACATTTAATGCAGGAGAAATGTTAGAAAATTTGCAATGATTTTTTTAAACGGTGTGAATATTTAACAACAATCAGAAAGTAAGTCGGGTATTCTGATTTCTGAGAAATCAGATATGTATCTGATTAGATGTATGCCAAAGCAGTGTGAATATGATACATTTCATCCTCCTCAGAACACATCCAGTTTCAGTAAACAGCTGCGGTATTTTCATTTCTTCTTGGAAATAGTGGAACATCTTCCTTGTATTCCTGTAACTTGTCCACTGAGCTCTAAATTATTTGTGTGCTGGTGTATATTTTCTACCTGATTTCATGTATTAAAAAACATGTGTGTGTGCGTGTTTATTGATTGTACTGTTTCAAAGCATCAGCTTGGATGTAACATGTTCCTAAATGACAAGTGCAAATTTGAATGTTTTTTTATGACGTTCCTGCACTGCATAACAGTCTGATTGGAGGTTTGAGCTTATTTACACATGTATAGTAAATATGGTTTTAAATTCACACATTTCTGAATGCAGATCTGGATTTTGTATTTTAGCGTCTATTAAAATTTCTTTGCTTTAATTTAAAACTGTTTTCCTTACTTTCCTTTTTTTAGTTTTACAGAACATTAGCGATTGAGCAATATGGAGACACAGTTGAGAAGGTTTGGACGTGTACGGAGGGTGGATGGTGGATATGAACAAAAGAATTTCCTGCATCTGGACGCAATAAAGTACATGTTATCTAAAAAGTAATCGGTTCACATTAGCATTAGCCCAACATCTGACATGATCAAAGGAGACATAATACCAGTGACGTGAAGACAATGGTACTGCATCAATATGAGTTTGAATATTATTAAAGCTTAAGTATTTTAATCCATAAATGTCACATACCTTTAAATTGGGTAACAATTTGAACTAGTATGATAGAACAAAGATAATGTTTTGCTTAGTGTTGCAAATCAAAAATTTGGGGGAAGAAAGTTGATATATTGATGCTTAGTTGCTACAATATGTAACAGAAATTTATCTGTATTGTGGACACCAGTGCTACCCCTCAGCCTCCTAGTAGATGCACCTTTGATATGAAAACTCATTCTCAATCTCATTCAGAAGATTTTCTGAAAGCTTGACCTCTGACCTTGACTTTGAGGTTGAGGTCACAGATTCAGACTTATCGGAGATGTCCGTGGCTAAACCTATGGCATCAATTTGGAACTCCTACATTGTCTGATTCTCAAGTTATCGCATTCACAAACTTGGGTGTCCATGCCAATAACCCATTAGCCTTTTATGGCTGAGGGGCAATGAGTGAACTAGAGCTGCAGGGATATCACATCGGATGCTTTAATCAGAGTTCTGAGGTGTTACCGGCATCCATCCATTTCTCAAATTGTTTACTGAGTTGTCCAACAGCAGCTGAGATAAGGTGAGAGGCAGGGTACACCTTGGAGAGGTCACCAGTCAATCACAGGACCATCACATAGAGGCAAATGACCACTCATGTTCACATTCATGCCTCAGAGCATGGCTGGGTATTGTCACAGATTTCTACAACCAATTCAGTTCTCTTTCACAATTTTATTCGACTCAATTCAATTTTAACTCAGCCAGAAATATTATAATTATGATCATTTATCTCGGAAATGTGCTGTAGAAAGAACCCTTTAAAGCTTGTAAATTAAATATATTAATTTTAAAATTAAGAACAGATCCTAAAGCAGTTACAATAATGCACTTTTTATTTAGCTTTTTATTTACTTCTGAGATTTGTGGTATTTCCACAGTATTTCAGCTCCATTTTGCACATCTTCCATATGCCTTTGCTTTTGTCCAGCTTTTCACTGGAGACAGTGAAGGCTTGGTGGCGCCTTCAGTGGAGTAGCCATGATGGTTCATGTGCAGCCAGGTTACTTCACTCCTGGGTGGCTACCTCTTTCATACTCGGAAAAATACTTTTATATTTAAAAATTGATTTCAGGAATTAATGAATCGATATAAGATTATTTAAATTAAAATCTTAATTAGCAAGTCACTGTCATTATATTAATGCTGCTATCCTGTATATATTGTACATACTATTGTTTGAGTACTTACGATTGTTTTTTTTGTACTTTTTATATTTTACATTTATATTTATTATTGAAACTTGCACCAAGGGAGTGGCACTCCAATTTCGTTGTACTCTGTACAATGACAATAAAGGCTATTCTATTCTATTCTATTTAACTAAATGCAACATACTGTAGACAACAGTGGTCTTTAATAGATCCCCCTCCTCGGTGGATGGAGAGGGAGACCTACGTGACCAGGTTGGGTCTGCAGTGATCCAGACAGTCTGTGGAGAGTCTGCGCTAAGACCATGACCGCTCTCCTTTGACCATCTGCCTGCCTGTCTGTGTGCTTTCTCCAGCCTCCATCTGGAGCTCAAAATAGCTGAAACTACTTTCCATCAAATAAAGCCATCGACAACGGGACCAGACAGCATGGCTGCCCGAGCAGACAGGCACTGTTAATGTTATTAAAGGTGGAGACAGAGATTCTCTTTATCAACGTCTGCAGCGCAAGGTGAAAGCTGCAGAAGGAAACAGTAATCCACTAGGAACTGCTGTGCACATCCTGCAGCTATTCCAGTGTACTCTCAATGAAAAGAGTCAATTCAGCCAAGGTAGAAAAAATATTTGCACAACTATTAAAATATATGTACTTACAGTTAACTAAAAGCACTTTTAAGGCTTCTTAATTGATATTTTTCACAACTTGTTTCACAACATTTGAGTCACATATAAATTCTGCCAGTTTTAAAAAGTTCTCTGGGGTTGAGGTTGATGTGTGTAGAATAAAAAAGTAATCAGCTGTGTCACAGAGATGCAGTGTTTCAGCATCAGTTTGACAACAATGGCTTTTAAACACAGTTTGTCCAAAAGATGGCGAGGTAGAGCCCTGCTATACGTTAGCTGCTTTAATCTTAACTGTGCATCAAAATGTTCTTCTCTGCTACTTCTCTGAAGTACTGACCAGATCAGAATATCGGATCCCCAAGTGAATAGCAGCAAGTCAGTGTCAATAAAATAATCGTCAATTTATTTAAAGAAAGACGCATTTCTCCTCCTCCTCCATCGGAGGAGAAAAACAAATACACCAAGAAATGCTTTCCAGTTTATAAAAAGAGCCAGCACTGTACATTCAGGTGAGTCAGCCTTGACATAATACAACTGCACATGGATTACATCATCTGCTAAAGTGTGGTGAGACAAAAGACTGTAGTTTTACCACTAGAGGGAAGCATGGCTGTGGTTAGGTGCTGTGTGGTTAGAAGTGCTGACTCACTGTCAGAGAGACTTGCAGCAAAAGCCTGTGGTGAGGTATCCACACAGGGTGGGATGCTACACACAGTTTATTTCTGCCTTTTTTGACTGGAGCTCCTGTAAAGTTACTGGATATTACAGACAGCTAACTGTAATATCCAGTAACCTTACCAAACATGATGAAGCACAAGTGCTGCTTTTATTTTTAACACTGGCATCGAAAGATGCTTATTGAGCAAAAGCAAAAAAGATGTAAATGCATAAACAGTCATATATGTTCAGTCCTTCACCACCAGCTCCTGCCATGTATTATGTTGTTTGTAGGTAGAGGGAGACAAAAGCCAGTAGTTGATGCAAACCTTCGTGTTATCCTCTCAGTGTGGTGCTGACAGTTTATGCTGAGATTCCCTCCACTACGCTCCAAAATGTGCCAAGCTCAAGGTCAACCAGGAAAAAGCTGAATGAGGATCATTTGTGTGAGCAGAAAGAAAGAAAGGAAGGAAGGAAGGAAGGAAGGAAGGAAGGAAGGAAGGAAGGAAGGAAGGAAGGAAGGAAGCCTATTTTAATGCTGTGTTCTTTTTGTGTTTTCATCAGTTTGTCCTCACTGTGTGCTAAAGACATTTAAAGTCTGAAGAAACTTGAATTTTCTGCAGATCATTTGAATAAGTCCTCTGCACTGCATCCATTCTACTAGACACCATCTGAATCCAGAGTTAAGACTGGGAGGCAGAATTAGTGCCTGACTGATGTTTAGAGCAGTCTGATCAAGCTTTACTTCTATAACTCTCACTTGCCTAGAGCCTAGAGTTTTGCTTTTAACCCCCCCCCCCCTCCAAAAAAACAACCCCACGACAAAACAAAGAAAACAAACAAAAAAACAAAAAACAAACCTAATTGAACATTCATACAGTGTAAGAGGAGACATGTGGGCATAAACATGCTACACGTAAACCATCTGTGTAAGGTCCCCTTTGTGCCAGTTAAAAGCTCTGACCTGTTGGCACATGGATACATGACATTGGGGGTAACGTGTGCTTTCTGACACCAGGACTTGTGACTTGTGTGCTGCCAGTCTGGACCTTCATACTTCTCATGGATGCTCAATCTGACTGAAGTACGGGGAGCTGGAAGGCTGGGTCAGCATTTGGAGGCTTGGTTGAGCCACAGTGTTCTGCTGAGTCAGGCTACCATTGGAGGATGGTGTCGGGTGGGGAGAGGGTTATCCGGAGAAAATCTACAACAATGTTGTGAACGACACACTCGATGCTTTTGATATTGTATTAAACGTGTAACCGTTGTAAGTGCTGCATCCATAGATGGTATAAAAAGTGAAGACGGTCACATGACATCCACTGGTTAGTGAGGTCGTGTTATGAAGTTCTGAGCTAAGTGTTTTCGGTGTTAGCATCTTGGCGTTTTGAAAGCATGGGGTAGCTGTAGCTCAGGAGGTAGAGCAGGTCACATTCTAATCAGAAGGTTGATCGTTCAATCCCTTTGAATGGGTGAATGAGGTAAGTTGTATAAAGCGCTTTGAGTGCTCAGGTAGAGTAGAAAAGTGCTATATACAGAATCAGTCCATGAAAAGTGAGTGGTGGATGTGACTTTGACACTGAGGGCAAATACTTGTGATTGGCTGTCATTAGCTCATCTTACTTTACAAATATTTACAGAAATCGTCATTGTTGTTCATCTAAGACTTCCAGTACAACTCTGGGTCTAGGCCATGCCACCTACACAAATACTCTGCAGTGGTTAGATGTATAGGTGCAGGGTAGGAGGAGTACAAAGAAACCAACACAGTGCACTATCTCATAAAGCTGAGATCCTTCAACTTCTCAATCAAAATGCGGGGAATTTTCTGTCAGTCTGTTGTGGCAGACAGGACACTTTGCTCTGGTCTGATGAGCATTGAAGCTGGTGACACCAAAAGACTGAAAAAACTGATTGGGAGGGCTGGTTCTGTGATTGGCTGTAAAATGGAAACATTTGGAGCTGTGAACAAACTGTTATCCATCAGGGATAATCCTGACCCCCCTCTTCACCACTTACTGGACAGGCAGTAGAGCACTTTCTCTAACAGACTGATGCCACAAAGACAGACATCTTTAATCTTTGATACTTGCTGTTACCTTCTACAATATGATTTACAGTCGGGGGAAGTAATTGTTTGATCCCCTGGTGACTGTAAAATTGCACACTTACAAATGTAGTGAAGTAGATTTTGGGGTAGGATTTTATATAATGTCCGCAAATGCAGCACTAACATCCACACCTTCCCA